TGGATAGCTCTATCAGTTCTAAACTGTTCTCCCTAGAGGTCCAGTAAGAGTCATCTCTTACTGATCCAGTGTTACTACAGGAAGATAGCTCTATCAGTTCTAAACTGTTCTTCTGTTCTGCTAAACTGTTCTATCCTAAACTAAACTATCCTGTAAAATATTTGTCAATTATACAGGTTAAAAATCACAAGGCCTTACGATTATTCAAAGCTTGTTCTGCTGTGTTTAAGGTGAAGATTTGTTCTTTTGTTGATAGATTCCAGCGGCACGTGCACATTCTCCTCACCCACGTGATTTTTTTCTCTAGCACAATATGAACACAGCAATATTTCTGTTACCTCACATCATGCTGTATGTTGCTATTGATGGCACTTCTGAAGACCATAAAGAGGTGAGAGAAGAATAGAGTGCTAGTTCAACTTTCTTCTGGACGCCATCTTAGACTTTGCACGGCCGCTTGAAAAGGACGGCTCTGAGACAGCCGATTATCATGAGATTGCACACATGCGACTTTCAGAAGACTTCTAAATATCAGTAGATCAGTAGCGTAGCCATTTAATTTCTATTTAATTTCTAAAGAAATGAATAATGATAATAATTTTGAATTTGCATAGCGGGGCTAAATTGTCGGGCTGGCTACACTGCTGTAGATTGTACACGGCTAAAAACGCACAGGTTGTTCCAAGTTGATATCGACAGGCGTGAACAATGTTGTGCGGCCAACTATGAACAAGTTGTCAACCATGTTGTTCCAAGTTGTTACAGTCGAACAATGCTGTAACAACATGTTGACAATTACTGTTCATAGTGGGCCGCCCCACCAAGTTGTTGATTTTCTCAATTTTTACGCGTGTACTCTTCACTGGATGGCTTCACACTCAATACCTCTTTATATTTCATATTTTCTGCCATTGTCTAAGAAAGTTTTGTTATCCCCATAAATAATTCAAATTTCAATCGCATAGTTTATTTGGAGTGTGAATCACGCAAAGAGATTTACTGCCACGTAAATGTTAAGTTGTAAGCAAAATCCAAAATTCCATATCCCGGTTAAGACCCTGATACCATAGTAACCTTCAACGTCAGGCTTGCATATTCTGACCTTTTTGTTTTTAAAGGTTTACGACGAAATCCTGGCTGTTTTAAAGCATGTGGAAGAACGAAATCCGGAGTATAATGTAACCAATAATTCCATAGGTTTGTAAGGTTAATTTTACTTAATGAAGTATTTACCTGTGCACTACACAGGATAGCTTTATCAATTGTAAATTGAGATACAGTAAGTTTAATCTCTTAAGGATCATCTGTAGTCCCAAATGTTAAAGATTTATGTTTTGGCCCATTCAGAATCCTTATTTTCACCAAAATCTGTCTACACCATGTCACAATATTTCTTTTCAGATTTTAGTCACATCAGTGCACAGACCATTTTCTCTCTCCTCGACTGTCTGACTCGCTGGGCAAGACTTAAAGCAGACAGCAGCTCCAAGACTGTCACACGTTCAGAAAAGAATGGGGCTTCCGGTATGTTTGTGAACAATAAATTGCGAATAATTTAGCGTGTTTAGTCTTCACCATTCTAGCATCACCACCATTACACAATCATCATCACCATTACCACAACCATCACATTACCACCACCATCATCAACACCATCATCACCACCATCACCATCATTACCACCATCATTACCATCACCATCATTACCACCATCATCATCATTACCATCACCACCATCACCACCATCACCACCATCACCACCATCATCACCACCATCACCATCATTACCACAACCATCATTACCACCATTACCATCACACCGTTACCAGTACCACCCCCACCATCATCACAGCTTACTAGTACCATCTTTCTTTCTGTCAACAAAAGGTGATGGTGATCTAACTAAGGTGGTACAATTCCTCGACGGTATCCCACAGGTAAATTTTCAGTTGGTATAAACACAACAGGAGTTTTAATCGGATATAATCTTATTTCATTCATACTGGATAACTTTATTCCAGTATGAATACAATCATTAAAAATGAGTCACTCCTTATTGGTCAAGTGTTACTACAGGAGGAACCAGGAGAGAATCTGCGATGTTTGGTAGAGTCAAATGCGACTGAGATTAAACTTTAATCAGACAAGTGTTTATTGGAGGAATCGAGGCCCGATTGTTGGTGCATGTTCAGGGTTCGTAGCGGTCTTTGAAATCCTTGAAAGTCTTTAAATTTGAATGCAGGTCTTTAAGGTCTTTGAAAAGTCTTTGAATTGTATGAAAAAGCGAAGAAAGTCTTTAAAAGTCTTTAAATTCTTTAGTGAGTATTTGATTATACGATTTCCTAGCTAATAAAATAGATTGATTGAAGCAAGATTTTCGCAAATATCGATGAAAAGGTGCATTTTAGGATGTGATTTGACGGGACTAATTACCGGGTAAAAATGGTACTTTTCCGGGTAAAAATGGTACTTGGTATTTTTCGACACCTGATTGCTCTCAAAGGTCTTTGAAAAGTCCTTGGTCTTGGAGAGTACGAACCCTGTTTCTTGCGCCTCTATGATTCTGCCACTCTTTGGTCACAGCCAGTTTTATCAATTTTTGTAGAAAACCCTGGCTACTGCGTCGTTTCATTGCAAAGCTTACGCAAGATCTCTGATGCATTTTGAACAATTTATCGAAAAAAGCCAAGAGGATTTACAGTTGCATCTGAACTCAATACAGCGTCTGTACTGGGCGTTGAACGAACCAGATGGGGTAGTGGGAGTGGCGGCTGTAAGAAAATGTCCTGCTTCGTTAGAGGAAGAGATTCTTGAACATAAAAGTGCAGGTAATGGTGATGATGATGGTAGTCATGGTGATAAGGGTCATAGTGACGTAATTATTGTGGTGGAGATGGTTGTGACGATGGTGGTTGTGATGATGATGTGGTGATGATTGTGGTGATGATATGGTGGTGATGTTGGTGGTGATGATGAAGATGGTGATGATGGTGGTGGTGATGATATGGTGGTGATGTTGGTGGTGATGATGATGGTGATGATGATGATGTTGGTGGTGATGATGATGGTGATGATGATGGTGATGATGATGGTGATGATGATGATGATGGTGGTGATGACGATGGTGATGACGATGGTGATGATGATGGTGGTGATGATGGTGGTGCGTGGTGGTAATGATAGTGGTGCTGGCCTTATTCTCTTATTTCTGATGTGTAGGGAAGTTACGTGATGCTGTTGCATGTTATGAAAGAGCGATACAGTTGGAACCAGACACGATTGAAAACCATAAGGTAGACTGAGTTAACGTCGAGATCTTATCTGTCCAGACTGTCCTCATTTTTTGTATAATCCAGAACAGCAACCACTGAATGAATGTTCAATTCCATTTTCCAGAGTTTGATGAGCTGTTGGATCACACTCGGCCAGGTGTCCACTGCATTGGAACATGCCAATGGAGTACTTACAAGAAGGTTTGCCTGTTGGTGTGAATTGTTTGTTGGGTTTTTCCATGTTATTCTAACAAAATCTTTGTTTATATTTAAGGCCAGCATGGACCAGTTCTATCAACTCCTTCAGAGTAGAGGCGTGTTGGCGTCTGGGTCAATGGGACGAGCTCGAGTCTTATGCAAAACTGGTGGGTATGATTGTCGGATATAAGATGACGAAAAATCTAAAATTCAATTTTTGTGAATCATGTAAGCCCTGATACTGGCTGATATTAAACTAAAGGAATCACTTCTATAAGGGTCGTTGCATGTACCAATTTTTTTCCCTTTTTCATATATAACTTCTGAATTTAGGAACATCACTGCACAAACTGGAGTGCTGGGGTGGGCAAGATTTTGCTTGCCGCAAGGAACAAGGTTTGCTGGTTTTCTTTTTTTATTCTCTATGCATGGTTGGTTGTTCGTCTTGGTAGCGTGCTCTGTGTGCGTGGTAGGGTACTGGAATCAACTGTTGTTGTGAAGTTATCCTGAACTTGCATTTCTGATCAAATTGTTTGATTTTACATCAGGATGAAGACGAGTTTTCAAAGTGTATTTGTGCGTTGAGACTTGCTCAAATGGAACCCCTTTCCGCCGCCAGAATGGAGTCCGGATCTTATCAGCGAGGATATGACTTTATAATACGGTGAGAGAAAATATTTCATTGTGATGTGTATAGACGACAGGCCCTATACTAAAGAGAGAATTCAATTCCTACCAGAGGACCTTGTGCTGCATTTTTTGCAGTCGTTCCTGGTCAGGTCTTAAAGTGTATATATACTCACTTGGATTACTAACCCTAAAACCAGCATTCTAATATTAATTCCACCAAGTGAAGTGCAAGAAACAAGATCATTGAAGTCCACCTATACTAAAACCCTATCTTTCTAGGTTGCATATATTGCATGAACTTGAAGACTGTTTAAGCAATGTATTCCATGGAGATAATTGCGACATGGATCATAATAATATGGACACGATGTTAACAAATTTACAGAAAAGATTGACCATTACACGTGTAAGTCACAGACTGTGATTTCTTATTCGAATATAATATGTATGTCTAGAAAATATTTTTTTACACATCATTATCTAGGCGTCATTTCAAGCGCGAGAACCGATACTTTCTATAAGAAGAGTGATGCTTAAACTTTTATTAAAGTAAGTTTCCAACTGAGTAAGTTCGTTGTCTGTTTGCCCCCGATGTAACCCCAGATGTTGAGTGGAAATAGATTTTCGTAGTGATTTCCACAAAAGTAGCCTACAAAACCCAAATCGATGTTTTCAGCTTTTTCAAGCTTTCGCGAAAAGTTGTTACTGTGCTTAATTGTACTTTATGGTATAATCAATTTATGCATACGAAAGAGGCGTTAGATTTCTAATTGAGTGTGAACATACTAATTTCATCCATTCCCAATCGTATGATATCTTTTCACAACTAGGAATGAAGGACGAAGCAACGTTGAAGATCACTGCTTACTTCAAACGGCTAAAGTTGCTAGAAAGTATGTTTAACATTAAATTCTATTTCATCTACAACATGTTTTCTAAGTGTTGGTTTTGTTTAGAGCTGGACATTTTCAAACAGCTTACAGTTATTTACTAAACATCAGTTCCTTGTGTAATACAACAGAGTGTTGTTTGGAGCAGTCAAAATTGTTGTGGGCGCAAGTAAGTAAAGATGTAAGTTGAGCATAAAATTAATTTATTCGACGTACTAACTGATCTCTTGTTTACCTCAGGGCAATTGTCATCAGGCACTTTTGCGACTGGAAAAGTGGATTGCGTAAGTAACTGAACAAAACTTTGTGTCAGTTCAGGAATTGAACTTCGATCGTTGAGGGGAAAGGCATATGCAGGATCATCATGATGACATCATCACCATCATGATGACATCATTACCATCATGATGATATCATCACCAACACTATCATGATGACATCATTACCAACACTATCATGATGAAATCATCACCATCACCAACATGATGACATCATCACCATCATGATGACACCATCACCAACATGATGACATCATCACCAACATGATGACATCACCACCATCACCATCATGATGACATCATCACCAATGATGACATCATTACCAACACCATCATGATGACATCACCAACACTATCATGATGACATCATCACCAACACTATCATGATGACGACATCATCATTACCATAACGATCATCACTACCACCAACACCTCATTATACTGAAAATAACTCTTTAACATGCCCTAACGATCTTTTTAGTCTTTAACCTCGACGATTCCTTATTTTCTTTCACAGGGAATCATCAAAAAGTGAAAATAATGATACCAGTTTGACTAAAGCAAAGGTCTGTGACTTTCTAATATTCAATATTAATGCACACACTACAAAACCTTGATATTTTGATATTTTATTACTAAATTTCCCTTCTTTCAAATTAAAATTAGACATTTTTGTTTGTTGCTCGATGGATGGAAGAAACTGCGAATTACGGTCCGCAATCTTGTCTGGCGCAGTACAAGGTGGGGATTTTGTTCATTTGTTTGATGAAAATGACAATAATTATATAATATATACAATTTCTCAAACTGTTTCCTTGCTCCTTAGGAAGTTGTTTCTCTCAACGGTCAGTGGGAAAACGGACATTTTTACTTGGCGAAATATTACGAGAAAATAATGAATTCAGTTGATGATTCTAAGAAATCTGGAAAACTGTAAGTACAGTTTTTGGGAACATACTCCGAGGTTTAAGTGCAGTAAACAGATACATATTTCATGAAGAATGCTTCCATTCTGATTCGACCAAACACCACATGTTTTTTCCTCTGGTAATCTGTAACTCTGGTGTCCTGCTGTAGTAACACTGAGCTATATTCCAGGTGATCTGACGGTGAACAAAAAGACTGGGACTAGCAACAAATAGAAGTCCAGTTTCGTACCTTTAATCACTTGTCACGCCCTGATTCTTTTGTGAAACTGTTGGAAACTTTGTGTCTGTGTCTCTTGCACCGGGAAATGAATGTCTGGGACAAATTTGAAATAGAAATCTAATACCGTTGATGAAATATTGAGTAATTTTAAACCAGACATTTCTGCCAGGCCTTTTCCGAGTTCCTAGATCATCTGGCGTTCAGGAATGAACTTTGCTCCACGGATATGGAAAACTAGATAGACATGATAAAATTATCCAGTATAAATATACTTAATTCAGTTTATGTGTTTTTAGAAACCAGCGGCACTAACAATAGTTTATGACATTTCTTTCAGAGATTTCCTACCATTTGTGATGAGACATTATGGAGAATCGCTGAAGTATGGTGATAAATTTATTTACCAATCTGTTCCCAAGATTTTGCAGTTTTGGCTTGACTTTGGAGACAATGTCTCGGAACAAGGTAGAATAATGTTCAAATGTACAAAATGTTCTATTGTCTGTAATATTTATGCTTTTCCAGGCCAATAGTGAGTTTGTAACACCGGAGTACTAGCAAGAGAGTACTTGGTTATCGAACCATGTTCAGAAAGTATATGCCAGTTGCGAATGAAGAAATTAATAAATGAATTCTTTTCAGGAAAGCAAACAAAATCTGAAAAATCCGCGTTGAATCAACGATTGGAAAGTTTAAATTTTGTAAGTGGAAGCACTCAATTATAGTACGTTTCAAACCTAGAACCCAGATAATTCACTGCAGTGCTCTGAGCTACAAAAGCAACTTTGCTCTACAAAAGCTCTACAAAAGCAACTTTGATCCACCAGCATGAGTCACACCTGCGCAGCCCTACGATTCCAATGACCGCTGACCACTGAGTCAATTTGCCAAAACCTCATTAAATGACACTTTGATGTCTTAGGGTGATACCAATTATCATCAGGGTCATACCAATTATGGTAAAGGTATATTAATTTTAATTTTCAGGGATCATGCTTGACATAAAAAGATTGCTAAACAAGACTTATTTTTATTTTCAGATAATCAGTGACCTCACAGATCGTTTACCGTCATATCAATTTTTCACTGCGTTTCCGCAGCTCATCTCGAGAATTTGCCACAAGAATGATGAGGTCTGGACGAAACTGAAGGTACAGTATCTGCCGTACTTTTAGAATCTTTGACTGATGGCTGGGAATCTTTGACTGAAGGCTGGGAATCTTTGACTGATGACTGGGAATCCTTGACTGATGGCTGGGAATCTTTGACTGATGGCTGGGAATCTTTGACTGATGGCTGGGAATCTTTGACTGATGGCTGGGAATCTTTGACTGATGGCTGGGAATCTTTGACTGATGGCTGGGAATCCTTGACTGATGGCTGGGAATCTTTGACTGATGGCTGGGAATCTTTGACTGATGGCTGGGAATCTTTGACTGATGGCTGGGAATCTTTGACTGATGGCTGGGAATCCTTGACTGATGGCTGGGAATCTTTGACTGATGGCTGGGAATCTTTGACTGATGACTGGGAATCTTTGACTGATGGCTGGGAATCTTTGACTGATGGCTGGGAATCTTTGACTGATGGCTGGGAATCTTTGACTGATGGCTGGGAATCCTTGACTGATGGCTGGGAATCTTTGACTGATGGCTGGGAAACTTTGACTAATGGCTGGGAATCTTTGACTGATGGCCGGGAATCTTTGACTGATGGCTGGGAATCTTTGACTGATGGCTGGGAATCTTTGACTGATGGCTGGGAATCTTTGACTGATGGCTGGGAATCTTTGACTGGAGGCTCGGAGTCTTTGACTGAAGGCTGGGAATCTTTGACTGATGGCTGGGAATCGGGATGATGGTGTGGTAAGTGATGATGGTGGTAGTGGATGATAGTGATGGATGATGGTACTGGGTGATGGTAGTGGATGATGTGGTGGTAATGATGGTACTGGTGATGATGGTGGTGGATGATGGTGGTGGTAAGTGATGATGGTGGTGGATGATGGTTTTGACTGGAGGCTGGGAATCTTTGACTGGAGGCTGGGAATGTTTGACTGATGACTGGGAATCTTTGACTGTAGGCTGGGAATATTTTACTCTGTGCACCCTGTCTTGCCCCGCTCTATCCCTCCGCAGCAGCCCCCCCCCCCCCCCCCCCCCCCCCCCC